ACACCATTCTTATGATCTCCTAACAAAACACTGGGACTTTATTTTGTGAATTGGTTATAAAGGTGCGGTGGTTTGTAAGTGTTCCTTGGAGAGCCTTAGACTGCTCACAATGAAACTACAGCCTTTCCTTCTGTTGCTGCTTTGAATTGTAGGGTGAGGTGGACAAAACTGGCCTGATGACTGTTGTTAAGGTTATTTTCACCAGCAGCAATGTTCCCTTCATATCACATGACATGCCACTTTTGAAACCAAGGGAACTTTCAGAAACAGATGGAAGAAGAACCTGCTGTTCAAAGGAAAAAAAGCTACCTTAAAAGACAACTAAACTGTTGATATACCTAAAAGAGCACTTTGGTTTGACAATTTGGGGGGAGATGTGGTCTTGCCGGTTCCTTCCTCTGAAGTGCTGCCTATAGCATCTGCTATTCATTTGTGGCTTCCTATCTAAGTACTAACTAGTGCTGACCCTGTTTAGCTTCCAAGATCAGATGGGATCCAGTGCCTTTACCATATTTAGGCCCTTGCCAATGTAATAATGAGAATTCACTTCTCTAAAAAACTGCCAGCAAAGAAAAAAGGGGGGCGAGGAAATTATGTTTGAATTGTAACATTTGAAACAGTTCTTAAAATGATCTGTTACACATTGTTAAAGGACAGATTAAATCTTCAGTTTTTACGTGTATAACCAAAGCTGTTTGGGAGTCAGCACTTTTTCAAAACCTGACAAGAACCATTGAAACGCATTTGAAACCAATAATGAAGATTCTTATGACCTTCAGTACAAAGAAAATTACACATGGTGAATGAACAATTTATCTATACACTATGGCCAGAATTCAAAGGGTTGGTTGTGTTGATTTGTTGTCTTCTACCAACAAAATGGGGAGAAAAAATGGTACTGGAGGTTTAGAAACCCTCCAGAGCTAGTTCTCAGGCTGCAAGCAAACATTCTTTGTCATATCGAGGAGGGAACAAGCTTGTTCTCTGCTGCTCCAGAGACTAGGACCCGAAACAATGGATGCAAGCTGCAAGAAAAGAGATTCCACCTCAACATTAGGAGGAACTTCCTGACAGTAAGGGCGGTTTGACAGTGGAACACACTCCCTCGGAGAGTAGTGGAGTCTCCTTCCTTGGAGGTCTTTAAGCAGAGGCTGGATGGCCATCTGTCGGGGGTGCTTTGATTGGGAGTTCCTGCATGGCAGGGGGTTGGACTGGAAGGGCCCTTGTGGTCTCTTCCAACTCTATGAGTCTATGATTGTTGTATTGATAAACATGAGGTCTGTGTTACATCAAGGTAACAGTCATTTGAAAAGGCAGTTTAAAACAAAGTATTGGGAACAACACACCACATCTTGTCCTGGCTTCAAAAGTATCACTGTTTCAAAGACCTTAGAAAGTCTCTAATACTTACTGAAAAATCCAAGGTGCATGTTCTTGGATAGCCAGGGATTCCTGGACTGAAACGCCACACAGTTTCTAGATGATTAAATAATTTCCCATCTGTGCACGATGCCTAGGAGAAAAGTTTGTTGTTGAAACACATCTACTTGGATTTTAGAATAATTGAGATCAACTTTAACATCTCAATTGTCACATTTCTATGTAGAAGAGCTATGGCGTTACTAGTGATGTTGCATCATTTATCAGTTATTTCCATCAAGGCTTCCATTTTCAAACCTAATTGCTTGTAACAGGAGGATTACTGTGCCCTTCTCATCTCAGCTCAAAACACCAGTAGCACAAAGGGGAGTCACCCTGAACTGGGAAGTTTATGGCTTGAGTAAACAGGAGAGGCCTCCCCAGAGACTACCTACACTGGGAGCTTGAAGCTCACGCTTCCCTGGCATAGAAGTTGATGGAGAAGAACGAGCCCACAGATTCACTTTGTCCTCTGTGGATACAAGGAAATGAGACATTATGCATCCTTTACAAAATTGGGAGATATTACAATTTGTATATATAACAGTTTATAATAATAATAATAAAATTTATTTATATCCCGCCCCTTTGAGATCAATCAGGGCAGCTAACAACAATAAAGTATTACATAATACAAAACATTATTAAATCAATCCAAGTTAAAATTACAACATACAATACAGCAATAATTTAATATTGCTCCCAAACATAGACAAGGATTTTTTTTTTTTGAAAAAGATTTTTGAAGAATGTTTTGGAGTGGACAGCAATACCAACTTATTCAGCACTTTTACATCTAGTTTCTTGACAGCTCATAAAGAAAAGAAAATATTACTGAAATGTTATTTCATATTCAGTTCTATACCGAGAATAATAAGACTAGAGTTCATGGTGGCAATTTTTTAAGTTCTTAGATACCTTAATGTAAAAGCATAAGCTTACGTCTAACAAAAGAGTGGTCAATTTGTATGTAACATTGAACATAGGAACAGAAGTATTACCTTAACCAAGTGAGGTCTTACTAGTGTTACAACTGAAGTGTACTTCTCCATCACAGGAGGAAATCCCACTTCTAAATGTGCTTTGCAGTATCCTGAACGCTTGGATAACACATCTGATTTTTTGCACCAAGGAACAAAGTCCTTGTATTCACCAACAACTGCTACCACTTCATACATTTCTTGCATAGAATACCTGATGAACAGGAAAAGGATAGTATTAGAAAGAAGAATCTGAGTTGCTAAACCATGTGGCATTTTCCTCCTTTGTTCACAAAGGAAGAATGTTGGTAATGTAAGCTTTGAAGGCTCAGAAGGCATTTCAGAATTTTCCAATATATCACACACACAAAAGCCCAGTAATAAGAACTGGTGTAATGGACTTGTCAGAGTGCCAAACTAAGACTGAAGAACTAGGTTCAGCTCTGCATCACCATGTAACACTCTGGACAGCCTTGATACACACACCAGGCAAAAGCCAGTCCCATCCAAGTGAACATCAGCTCATAGAATCAGACTTTTCCCTCCTTCCTGCCTGCGCCCCCCAAGTCTACTCTGTAGGTTCCACCCAAACCTTCTGGAAGAGATTAGTGGAATGCTTGGAAGTGCAGGGGGAGGAAAGAGAAATTATCCAATAAATGTCCCATTGACCCCAACATGATTTCATTGGATACCACCTTCTCATCCTAGCCAACATCACAGGATTACTGGGAGGACAACAAGTGTGAAAATTGAACCATTTATGTTACTGTCACCTTGGAGCAGGCCTGCGTAACTTGGCAGTAGGTAGGGGCCAAAATTAAAACAGACTAAACTCCTTAGGGCCACAAATAGGTCTTAATTAAATATTAATTACTAATAAAGGTTTTAATTAAATATTAATTACTAATAATTTTAACAATATTAATAAGAATTAATATTAATTCCGCTCTCCTCCTCCTCTGCCTGGCCCTCTTCTCAGGAGAAAGCCAAGCAGTGGAGGAGCCTTGTCTGTCCTTCTCCTTCTCTGCCCAGACTTCTCCTCAGGAGAAGCCTAAGTGATAGAGGAGCCTTGAGGGACAAGAGTTTGCCCCTCTTCCTCCTCCACCAGAGAAAACCGGGGGAAGGAGGAGCCTTGCAGGGCAAGTGTTTGCCTGTCCTCCTCCACCCGTCCTTCTCCTCTGAAGAAAGCAAAGCAGCAGAGGAAACTTGCAGGACAGTTTGCCCATCCTCACCCTCTGCTGCTGTCTAGCCTTCTCCTCAGGAGAAAGCAGGGTGGCGGGGAAGCCTTGCAGGGCAAGTGTTTGACTGTTCTCCTCCTCCTTTGGCTGCCCTCTTCCTCTGCTGCTTGGCCTTCTCCCCTGGAGAAAGCCAGGCAGTGGAGGACCCTTGAAGACATTTCATATCCTTGCGGCCCACCCAAAATCCTTTGGCAAGCCATGGGCAGCCCCTAGACTGTATGTTGTCCAGGCCTGCCTTGGAGGAAGTGCAAGGAAGAAAAGAAATAATAGTTAGCACTCTTTTGAGTTACTACATTTGTGTACTTTGTTGTGTGTCTTCAAGTCATTTCCAACTTATAAGCAAACCTGTTTCAGCAAGATTTGTTTGGAGAGTTGCCTTTTCCTTCCTCTGAGGATAGGAAAGTATGACTTGCCTGGGAACATACTATCTCTTCTAAGTAATTATGTGGAGTTTCTGTCACTTTCTCTCCTTGAAATTATATTTGTAGACTCAGCAGAGAACACTCCTGTCTAGCATTCTAATACAGTTCTTAAAACATCTCATTAACAGATGAGAGCCAGTGTAATTATGTGTACACAATGCTTGATTTAAACTTTCTAGACTGCCATAAATATTTTTGGGTAGCCTCAACGAAACTACTCTCAGCCTTCTCACTGGCTATAAACCAAGAATATTAATGACTTGTTACAGGAGATTATTGAGGCATGAATGCTACAAGGACTTGGCATAGTAAAAGGCATATGGAAATGAATAAATCTAGCCACATATTTTAACTGACATTAGGCTCTCTTTCAATAAATTCTAGAGCTCTGCCTTAGAAGTCTGGATTTGTGTAGAATAATAAAAAATAGTAAAATATATTGCCTGGAGTTGAACATAAGATAGAAGTAAAAATTCTGAGAAGTCTTAATTTGGCTTCTTAGAAAAAAATCAAAATCTCAGAGATACACAATAGTTAAGGTACATCTGCTCTTCTGCAGATGAAAGCATATAACAAAAATCTGATTTTAACTTTCAGAAGAGCTACTTACCCCTTACTCTGACCTTTCACAAAGAGAAGCAGTTTCAGTTTCAGCATTTGATAGTCTAAGCTAGAATACATCCACTGAATTAAATGGAATTGATTTACTCCAGTGAATCAGTCCACTGATTTAGTGGGGCAATGCTGCTCTGCTTTGGAATAATACTTGAAATTTAGATCACTGTCTTCACTAGTTTGTACCTTTTGAGAATCATCACTGTAATTTCTGTTTCCTGGACATCCTAAATAAAGACTCTGGGTATTTTAGAGATTATATATATATATATATATATATATATATATATATATATATATATATAATTACAATTATATAACAATATAATGGTGGTGTAGTGGTTTGAACAATGGACTCTGACTCTGGAGACCATGGTTCAAATCCGCGCTCGATCACGGAAACTTTGGACAAGTCGCACTCTCTGTCTCAGAGGAAGACAATGGCAAACATGCTTCTGAAAAAGTTTACCAAGAAAACTCCATATGATGGAAAACTCCTTGAAGGCATGCAAGAACTATCTTATAGATCAGGATGGGCACCTCAGCAGAGTCTGAGAGTCATTTTCACTTTTCCCCCCAGACCTTAGTGGGTCACATCTACACACCCAATACAGCCTAGAAAAAAATAACCAATAAAATGTTCAGTTTTGCTTCCAAAAGTCTCCCAAAGGCATGCCTGGTCATTTACACTGACATTTCAGGCCTCCCTTTCCTAGACCTTTTTTAGGTATGAAACAGACTCTTTTAGAAAGAAGGGCCAGGCCATTACATCTGTGGGTTTTTCTTTTTAAAAAATGAATGTCTACTTTAAAATTCTAAAAGCTGCCTCTTACAGCATTAAATGGCAAATGAGCTCCCTGAGGCTTCTAAGGGCATGACTGACCTTTTTACACCAGTTTTTAAAAATAGTAATTATAATGATTATCCCTTGACCCAAGAACAACATCTGAAAACAAAGTCAATTATATTCCACCATATCCCTGGGAGCAGACAAATGTCTTGACTTTGTGCTGAAAAGACAGTAATAATGGGATCTGGTGGGCCTTTTTGGGGAAAACATTCCATGAGCAAAAGGCTACAGCTGAAATGGTCCTCTCCCTTGTATCCCAAACCTCCTACAGTGGTGGTACTCAAAAAGGTCTTAGATTATCTGTTGGAAAATCTTCTTTCCCCCTCCTTAGATAGATATGTACTCCTATCTGCAAACTCCTCTCTTCTCTCTCTCTTATTCAAACTAACCTTGTGACTTAGGTCACTCCCTCTTTGGGAATAACAGTCTTTTCTTTCAAGATTCTCAACTGAGCTGTTCCATCTTCCTGCTCTCTTAAAGTTGGTGAGATATTTTCTCGTTACCTGAACCATCATTAGCTAGATAAGGATATAGCTTTTTTAATGTAAATATAGATTAAAGTTATTGTTTTTAAACTACGAGCTACGTGTTTGTTGCTTTTGAGTCAGTATCGGTTCTTAGGGAAGCACAGTTGGGCAAAGTCACTCTTCTGCTACTCTGCTGTTTTAAAGCCAGACTCTAACAGGCTTGGGTTTTATATTTTGATATTTAAATATTTTTGTTTCCCTAAAAAGGCTGAAGCCTTAGGAAACTTAAATTACTCCACATTATCATATTATAGAAAAGGTAGATCCATAGATCTGTCAAGTTTGTGAAATGGGCAAAACAAATATTTCATCAGCTAATGCAAATAGAGCCAGAATAGGTGTTATATGGTCAAACCTTCCGGTCCTTGTGATCAATCTGGCCATTGCACTCTACAGTAGCTATATTTTCTGAACTGTCTTTAAAAGCAAACCGTACACTGCAGTAATCTAACCAGAGCTTTGGCCACTGAAGTTATGCTATCCCTGTCCAGGTAAGGAAGTAGCTGCACCAACAGCCAAAACTGCTAGAAGGCACTTCTCTCCATTTAGGGAACCTAAGTTTCAAGTGACAAGAATAGATCCCAGAGGATCCCCCCCTCAAGTTATGCACTTGCTACAGGAGCAGGAGCACAACCCCTTCTCGAACAGACTGAACACAACTCATCCACTTTAGCAAGTTGCTAAACATGCTTTAGCAAGCAAAGGGATCTTATAGCATTGTTGAGACTTACTAAAAGAAAGAGGGAGAAAGAAACTGAAAGGTGTTAGAAGATCCCTTTGCATACTGATTTTCCAGACCAGGGGTAGGCAACCTTTTTGAGCCCGGGGCCGGGTTGCTGTCCTTCAGTCAATTGGGGGGCCGAGGCACCAAAAATAAATAAATAAATAAATAAATATATTTTTAAAAAATAAATAAATAATTTTAAAAAAATATGCATGCACATTCTTTAAGCCCCAGAAAAGCCATAGCAAAACCCCTGTGGAGATTTTGCCAAGAAAACCCCAAGAACAAGTAATAACAATAATATCATCATGGTGGGCGGAGGCGGCGGCGGCACCGGCCTTGGGCCAGTCCAAAGGCCTCGGGGGGCCGCATCCGGCCCCCGGGCCTTAGGTTGCCTATCCCTGGTCCAGACTAATATGGCTATGTCTCTGAATGCTTTAGCAAGTTAAGTGTAACTACCTATTTATATATAAAAAGATAAAGACATCCTGGTCTTTAATGGGGGGAATAAAACCCAGCTGTTGTACCCAGGAAGTCTGCAGTTCAGACTCACTCTCAAGATGAGGATTGATGACTTCATGATGTTCAGGTATCAGATTAGACCGAGTAATACATTCTAGGACTAAATTCAAGTAATTTACAAAAAAGAAAACTTAAGATTGATGTGGAGTAAACAAAATCTTGACAAAACCAATAGAAAGTGAGATGCTGATTAAAGTTACGCAAGCTGGCGTCACAGATTTTCATATATATAAACCACTTTATTACAAACCCTATAATCCTTCTTTCTGAATATTCTTTCTTTTTGTTCACTAGTGGTGCAGCAAAGCTGAAGAAATTTCTTCTTGAAAAGATACAGTATCTTCCTGGTACTTGCAGCAGGGGCGCTTTGCTCATCAAAATTTCCCAAGAAGTCAAATGTCTGCAATAAATTAAACATTTTAGTAAAATAAGCATCGAGTTGGCTGAATATTATATAAGCGATGTAAATGATATTAAATCAAATAGTTAACACAGGGACAATAATAGCCTACAAGCTGTTCTGGATTAGGATAACTTTTTATGCCCCTGGGAAACTAAATATATCTCAGTCATGAGAACGAACCTGGCAGTAGTATAATACAAAAGCCTTCCTCCTTAAGACTTGGCTCCAAGTCAATCTGAGGTCACACACTCCGCTCCGTTCATGTATTTGAAATGCAAACTTCCTGCCACAAAAGCAAGCATCCATAATACTTTGACCCTTTCTTCTTATAAAACCAGGAAAGTGATTTTGACTGAAGAATATACTGCTAAATACAATGTATACAATTATATACGTATTTAACAAACTAAATCATGAAGTATTCAAAATGTCCTTTTTCACCACTAAAGGGTCTTGCTTTTGCACTACTTCTGGGCTTTTTTTTAAAAGCCTAGGCTGTAGCAATAACAATCAGATGGGAGCATGTTCTTTTACTATCAGTACAGCCATCACACCATCTTGAGCACATGCAATCTTGTCTGATCCTGGGGAAGAGTTGGACCTAGTGAATACCTGGATGTTAGACCCATCTATGTGCCTTTACAGACTGGCAGAAATAATGCAGTTTGAGTCCACTTTAACTGTCCTGGCTCAGTGCTAGGGAATCATGAGAACTGTAGTTTTTTCTGGGACACTGAGCCTTCTCTGTAAGAGAACTCTGGTGCCACAATAAACTACAGTTCCCATGATTCCTTAGCACTGAGCCAGGACAGTTAAAAATCAGGGGTAGGCAACCTTTCCCCTTTAAGGGCCGAGGGACTTCAGCTCCCAGAAGCCTCAGCCATGTTGGCCAGTAGTCCCATGTTGGCCAATAGCTCCTGGGATTCTGGGAGCTGAAGTTCCTCGGCCCTTAAAGGGGAAAGATTGCCTACCCCTGGTTAAAGTGGACTCAAGCTGCATTATTTTTGGCAGTCTATAAAGGCCCAAGTTTATACCAGTACTACCCTAGGTTATCTAGTGAATTTCATGGCTCAATGGACACTAGAAAAAGAAACATCCAAGTACCTACCCAATACTTAATGGTCTAGCCACTATACCACATTTGATTTGATAGGTATGAATACAGCAGTTGTCTTGACTGATCCTGACATATAGGTCCAAAACACACTGCAGAAATAATCCAGTTTGAAGCCACTTTAACTGCCCTAACTCAGTGCTAGGGAATCCTGGGAATTGTAGTTTATTCTGGTTCCAGAGCTCTCTGACAGAGAAGGTTAAATGTCTCACAAAACTACAATTCTTAGGATTCTCTAGCACTGAGCCAGGGCAGTTAAAGCAGTCTCAAACTGGATCATTTCTGCAGTGTGTTTTGGACCGTAGTCTAAATCACTTCCCAGCAAAGGTTAGCCAGATACTCTTGGAAGCCTCCATAGCAGGTTGTAAAAGTAATGGTTTGCATAGCATTTTTGCAACAACCAGCAACTAATTTTTTTATTCTCTCCCTAAACACTGAGACTCCACTTAGTTATATCTGATAACTTGTCTCGATTGTTTAGTGGAATAGTAGAATTATGCACTCATGCTTGCAACCTTTTTGGGAAGAGATCAGAATCCAGAGAGGAAGACTGAATAACTTACCCTGAAGTTAAAATTCCCCAACATTTTGGCCAAATGAAGCCAAAACAAGCACTTAATATTTGTATCCAAGTATGTACCACAAACTTCAAACTGCCAGACTTTGGGACTGTGAGAAAGTACAGAGACATTATATTCAGATTTTAATCGAGGCAGCTCCTGATTAGCTTGTTGCCACAAAAAAAGAAGCTTGCTACCACTTTATCTTCTAGTAACACAAGCAATCCAATAGTGGTTATCATCTTAACACACAAACAAAGCTGTGAAATTAGCATAGCCCAGAGGTGACCAAGTTGTTGTTGTTACAGTTTTTGATCCAGCTAACAACCATGAGTGATCCAACATGGTTTTATGGTTTGAGTGCTGGGTTATGACTCTGGAGACCAGGGTTCAAATCCCCGCTCGGCCATGAAAACCCACTGGGTGACCTTGGGCAAGTCGCACTCTTTCAGCTTCAGGAGATGGCAACAGCAAACCTCCTCTGAACAAATCTTATCAAGATAACCCTATGATACGTTTGTCTTAGGGTTGCCATAAATCAGAAACAACTTGAAGGAAGCATTAGTATTTCCTTTATTTGCCACTAATTATTGTGAGCAACAGCAATGGCAAAACTGACCAGAAGATTAAGGGCCTTTACAGACTGCCATATAAATAATCCATCTTAAAACCAATTTAACTGCCCTGGCTCAGTGC